ATATATATATATATATATATTGTGATCCCTTTTGGATTTGAATCAGAATCACATTCCTAGAATTGGGGATTTCAATGAGAGCACATATTACATGGAAGGAAACACAGGTCATCCAGTTTTTGAAACTTGTTTTGGGAAGATTGCTGTCAATATTTGTTATGGAAGGCACCATCCTTTAAATTGGTTAGCCTTTGGATTGAATGGAGCTGAAATAGTGTTCAACCCGTCCGCCACTGTTGGAGAGTTGAGTGAACCAATGTGGCCAATTGAGGTACTTCCACATTTCATTTATTTTCTGTCGTTTGTACGCAATTTCATTTATTGTACCAATGTGGCCAATTGAGGTACTTCCACATTTCATCTATTTTCTGTCGTTTGTACGCAATTTCATTTATTTGTCTTTCTTGTTTTTTTGCAGGCGAGAAATGCTGCAATAGCAAATAGTTATTTTGTTGGCTCAATCAATCGTGTTGGGACTGAGGAATTTCCAAATCCATTTACGTCTGGTGATGGGAAACCTCAGCATACAGATTTTGGACATTTTTATGGATCTAGCTATTTTTCATCCCCTGATGCATCGTGCACTCCATCTCTGTCAAGATATAGGGATGGTTTGCTGGTCTCGGACATGGATTTGAATCTGTGCAGACAGTTGAAAGATAAATGGGGCTTTCGAATGACCGCTCGTTATGAATTATACGCCGATTTGCTTTCTCGGTATTTGAAACCAGACTTCGCTCCACAAGTCATCGTTGACCCCCATTTGCAAAAGCAAAGCTAGCGAACGATTGGAGCATAAGCATCCAATTGTGGATGCTGATTTGTTGCAAATTATGTTAAGGTTTGTACCGTGAATCTCGGATTTTTACAACATCCAATAGGTAGTAGTATTTGTTGGTTGCAATAATCATGTAAGACGTCAATTTTTTGCATTCTAATCAATTATTATGTCTGGTGTTAGAAATTCTTGTTGGATGGAATCATGGAAGCTATGAAAATGAAGAGAACTGCCATTTCACCGTGTGATCTCAAAATAAAATTTAAAAAGCCTTGTTCTTTGTTTTTTCTACAAAATATAGTTTTACTAGTCCTGCATCCCATTCACAAATAATTAACAGTTGGATCAATGGCGACAAAGCTTGTTTAGCTATCAATTAGAAGCAAGAAAAAAAGTTCCAGAACTTTATAAATTTGACAATTTGAACCCTTTAAACTTTCTTTGTAACACTCCTACCCTTCAACAAGCTGCTTAACATTCCTCGGAAATGAATCCTGCAAATTTCCCTGGTAAGCTTCCCTGGATGCAATAGCATTGAAAGCATCTGTCGGATGATAAGGATCCCAAAACACATACTCCGACCGGTTTTGGCACGGCGACATAACTGATAAACATATGATCTGACCATTCCATCGCCCGCCACCGCAACAGGCCGTTTTTTGGTACTTGAAACCTTCATCATAAACCACAAGGATTAAACTTTTGTAAACTTCAATGGCTAAATATCAATAGGTTGAAATGATTACCATAGCTGGCATAGTTTTTTATGACATTTAAGGCAAAAGAGTATGTATCCCAATAGAGAAATATTGATTCCCGGAGTTGTTTGTTGTACTGATCAACCATTTTCTTAAGCTTTGTGTTATATTGAGATGCTAGATGGTTTGTTGATTCAACACACTCTCCTGTATCGCCGCCCTGCCATGCCAACTGGTTTGGTATGCAGCCGATTGGGCTGATGTTGGCTATCAAGAATTTTCTCGCTCCGAGAGTGTAAAGATCCTGAGATTTATCGAGCGACAAAAGTTTTTTAATTGATCGATTCATATAACAAGTGAGATGGATTCATTAGTCTTATTACCTGGAGCTGTCTTCCAAACTGTTGGATGAGTAGATTGCCGAAAGCTTCGGGGGTGTATATGAAGCGTTTGTTCGTGAGTGGTAAGAGATAGTTGTTGATGTAGTCGTTGCTTCCTATGGCTACGATGAAGATAGATTTTCTAATGTGTAGTTGGGTCTTGTTCTGAAGCATTGCGCTTAGTTCTTCAATTGTTGATTTGAAGTTCTGTAGCTGTTGATCCATTGGGATGCGAATTCCCTGATAACCCAAGTAAAGAAGTTGCATCAGTTTTATTTATCAAAATATGGCCTTTACATAAATACCACACAATTCTTTTCTATTTACATATTTCATACCTAAACATTCATATTTACATGCATACCACTCAAATCTTTAACATCACATCAAAAATATTATTACTATCTTTTTGAAAGTGAATATATATGTGTATACATGCATAAGTTTACGACATCAATATGTTATAAATGTAAATATCAAACTTTGGGTATTAAAATATGAAAACTCATAAGAATTGTACGGTATATTTATAAGTTGTAAGTTGGTGCATACAAACACTGTAAATATCAAACTTTGGGTATTAAAATATGAAAATTCATAAGAATTGTACGGTATATATGTAATTAAAAGTTGTAAGTTGGTGCATACAAACAGTTCTCCAGTGTCATTGAGAATTCCGGAGGCTGCAGAACCATAGTTGACTCCATGAATTATGGTGGAGCCATGTGTGGCTGGATTGTTGAATGGAGGAATGAGAGGTAGTCCCAGGAGATGACCTGCAAGGTTATAGGCTCCTCAATTTTCACTGCTCTTGAACTTATGCATAATAAGGAAAATCACTGCAAATCAAATTGTTTTGGGGCATTTACACACATACCACCCAATTCATGTGTATTTATATATCTAATACCTATACTTCAATTTTAACATTCATAACACCCAAATCTTTCAAATCACAAAAAAATATCATTGATTTAACTTTTAGAAAGTGAAATGCACCTTGTTATGTGTAGATAAGGTAGCTATATATGTAAAAGTTAAAGTTTAGGTGTTAGATATGTAAATACGTAAGAATTAAGTGGTATGTATGTGAACCTTTCAATTTTTTCTTGTAGCTATGTAAATACTTAAGAATTAAGTGGTATGTATGTAAACCTTTCAATTTTTTTTTGTAGCTATCATTGAGGAGATTATTATTGCCACCTATTAAAATATAAATAATTCTATCAACATATGCTGGTCAAATTTTACTTATGATCAGGTTTAAAATTTTTATATTAACTTTAAGTTCGGCATGTAAAATATGAATAATTAGGCCAAAATTTATATTATTATTATTGTTGTTGTTGTTGTTATAAAATTGTGTAACTTTAATAGAAAATTTTAGACCATATTTCTTTTTCCAAATAAAGAAAGATTTAGATACACACCACACAATTCCTATATATTTACATGTATTAACCCATAAACATCAATTCATATGTACATATATATCCTTTTTTTATGCATGAAAAGGATATATTTCACTCTTTTAAAGTTAAAAAAAGTTGTATTTTTTTATGTCGATACATAAAAATATTGGGTGGAATGCTGTAAATACCCCTAAAAAAATAAAATTATAATAAAAGGTAAAACTAACCCAAATGATCAACGACTGTTCTGCCATTGCAGAACCTCCCCGTCGTCCCCTCAGGAAAATCTATCCCATGCGGCCTATAATCAGCTCTGGCCAGCGTTAACAGCTCATTATTATTTCCCGGGTCGACTAATGAATCTCCGAACACGAACACCGCCGGAGCCTGCGCTTCTCCGGCGACTTCTCCGGCGGCCAACCTCCCCCCCACCCCCCAAAGAAGCAGCGTGCAGCAGCTGAACAACAGAGAAGCCATGCTCTCTCAAACACCTCACACAACTTCAATTTACCCAATAGCAGTTAATGTTTATACTGTCTTCAACCGTAGCCCTTTTCCATATTCATGCTTTCCTTCTATTTTCAGAACCAGACGTAAGAGAAGAGCTGTGCCCTTATTTTAGGTTATGATCTCATATATCTCCTCAATTTAATGAAATTTACAACGTTATGGCGATGAATGCGATTTCCTTTTCGAAGGGATAAATGACGCCCAAATGAAATTTTAAAAAATGGAGATTCGTTCTGGTCTTTGTGCAATGGATGCATTGTCAAAATAAATATGAAGAGTTAATTTCTCATATGTTATAATGCAATTTGTATTAGGTATACTAACATATATAATTTTCGCCTAGAAAAGCTTGTCTTATGATTTATATTTATTAACTCTCGTTAGGGAAGTTAATGATCTGATTTTTGAGTTGAGCTGCAGTCGGCTTGAAATCGACTCGAATGTATTGAGTGTGGCCCGAAATCGGTTGTGACTCATTATGTTTGATTTCGAGTCTGCTTGGCTTGAAATTGAATCGAGCTCGATCCGGCTCAAAATTGAAACTAGTTGGCTCGAATTAAGTTATTTGGATTCGTTCCAGCTCAAAATCGAAACAAGCTAGCTCGAGTTGAGTTTTTTGGATTTATTCCTGCTCAAAATTAACTCATATATTGTAATAAAAAAATTACTTCGAGCCTAATTGAGTCAGTTTGAGCCTATTCATGTATGGCTCAAAATCGGCTCAAATGAATCAATCTAAAGTTTTGGCTCGATTTCGATCAGATTTCAAACTAAACGAAACTTTGAATCGATTTTTGAGTGATTAGAGATCTTAGAGCAAAATTCACAGCCTAATTATGATAAAGATATTGATAGAATTTTAATTTTGAGACTTACCTATCATTATTTAAAAAACTGTCCTATCTTTTTGTTTTATTACTATCTTATTGAATTTCTTTTTCATCCTACCCAGGCGACGCTCTCTTTTCTGGCCGAACCTGAAAGTATGAAAGGTACCTCTTAGAGTTCCATTAATGTATTTCTGGCCGAACCTGAAAGTATGAAAGGTACCTCTCAGAGTTCCATTATTTATTATATAAGGTGAATATTTTTAAAAAATGCTGTTCGGGAATGCGTCCCGGCGATGGAATGATGCTCTCGTTTAAGGCGATTGCGCAATGCCTTTCCCACACCGTTGCTGCACATGGCTCCAAATGCAAAAATTAGTTTTACAAATATGCTATTGTTAGAAATATGAAAACAATTTTACAAAATCAAGCAGTCGCTTATTACAATGAATTTATGATCTAATACCTTTTTATATGAAATCTGACATGGAGGCAGGCACTCGGCGGAAGCTGCATAATTAGTCTGTTTTCACGGTCTAAGCCCATGTGCCTGAGTGACTTAGTCGAGCTTACCAATCGAAGTGACTGCAGCAAGCTCACTTGCAAAAGTGCGAAGCACCAAGATTTACATGCATGCCTTAGAATTCTACAGAAACTTATTACCGATAACTTTCTCATGTGATTCTAAAATTCGAGTATTGTTTATGTAAAATATAAAAATCATGTTTATCAAATTGTATGTGAATCCTAATGCTTTGTAATTATACAATATTGTTTTAGATATTGTTATTGTTATTTTTATTACAACGTATAATACATTTATTGTGTGGTAATAAATTTGTGGGGGTAGAAAGATATATTAGTGTCCTAGTGTTGTATAGAGAAAAATAACAGAGAGAACAACGTCAGTCTTTATGTGGAAAATCTAAATGGGTAAAAACTATAGGATTTAACATTCCAATAAGGGACTGACGAAATACATTGGGGAAGTTGAGGTAATCAGACTGTTGTGAAGGAAGATTGAAGTTAGAGGTCATGTGCTAGAATCTTATGACAATGTCGTCGAAAGCGACAGTGTGATGGCCACGAGCCGACGACAATGACTTGGTAGCGGCGTTTTTGAGGTAGCGACCCAACGATAACGGTCCAACTATAGCCATGGTGGTGCTCAGGCAATGATGGTTTGGCCGTGGCAACGACACTGATAGTTTGACAATAAAAGTCCTAGCCAAACAACAGTGAGGGACAATGGTGGCAACATGACAACGATAGTACAACACCGATGGTGGTTGTGCCCAAGCAGTATTAGTCATACAGTGGTGGTGGTGGTCTGACTGTGTCGACGATGGTGGACAAACAACTGTGATCTTTCATTGGTGATAACTACACGATTGTGGTTTGATGGTGGTTCTACGGCGGTCTAGCGATGGTGATTTGGCAATGGCAATAATAGTTCAGTGGCAATCATGATCTTAGCCGACCCGCCATGGTTCAATGATAGTGGTGACCCAACATTGGTGGTCCAAAAGCAACAATGTTAGGGGTCAGGAAGTAGCGGTCACACAGGATTAGAATTTTTAAATCTTCAAGTACAATTTTTAATCATAATTTCTCACGTGAAAGCTCATTCTTGGTTTTTATTGGCATTCTATTTTATTCGTTTAAGCTATAAAACACTTCCATCATATAATCTATCTTAATACATTTTATCAACATTAATCACTAGAACACTTTAAAATTGAAAAAACATTTACTTGCACCTTTTACATATTATATCATTTTATATTTAATAAAATCCAATCAGATGCAAATTTAAATTTGATTCAACTGATTATTCATTCAAATTAAAAAAAAAATTATTTATTAATAATTTAATATAAAAAATCATTCACTCATTACAGATTTTAACATTTTTAGTAAAATTATAAGAAGAATTAAAAACAATTTAAGATTTTATATTTTATAAGAAAATTTAAATACTCGTAGACTCACTCAGCTCAATTACAACTCTGAAGGCATTTGATCATTACAGAAATAAAAAACAAGGCCGACAGAAAAATAATAGAGGATAATTATTATAACGATGCATTAATTGAAAAAAATTAAATAAACACAAATTACAATGATGAATATATATATATATATATTAATAGTTTAAACCTAAAAAAAATAATAATAATAATAATAATAATAATAATAATAATAATAATAATAATAATAATAATAATAATAATAATAATAATAATAATAATAATAATAATAATAATAATAAGCACGACCTTTCTTCCCTTCAACAGACATGCGCAACAAGAAAATCGGTAGCAGAAATGAACGCCTCGATACACATTCACCATTCTCTTATAAATAATATAGGATTAAAGATTTAATAAAAAGAATCAATGTGTAGTCATTTCAGCCCTCTTCCACCTCACAAGGGAAACAAGGAACTCCATCACCTGTCAAACAATAAGATATCATTGCAGAAATCAGTTAAAACTAGCATTTTTATTATATCAAGTAAAGATGAACATAAACTTTTGTTTTTGAGGCATTTATTATGTATTTGCATATTTAATTCATACACTTACATAACATCACATAAAATAGCACAATTATTTACTTTTTAAAAGTTTTCATGCACAAGTTTACCATACTGGAGTGTAGTGTAAATATCAAAGTTTAGTTGTTACATATGCAAATACATAAAAAATGTGAGGTATGTAAGTGACTTTATCGCTTTCTTTTTTATTATTTTTACCTCGGACGGTTCTCTCAGTGAATAATAGGCGTTAGATTCTTTAGGTACAGAAGAAACCAAAATGCCAAAGCCTTTGCTCCCTTCTCTCAAGACCTGCAAAACATTATTTACCTCACCATTTTTTCATAATAAACTTCACTAAAAGAGAATTAAATTAGAAGCATATTTGAAAAAATATTCAAAAAAACCTTTTTTTATTTTATTATTATTTGAAAAAATATTCAAAAAAACCTTTTTTTATTTTATTATTATTTTTTTTGTTTATTTATTTTATTTTAGTGGCTACCTTGAAAGCATCCTCATCGGTACGATCGTCCCCAACATATATGGGAAGCACATCATCACGATTATTTAGGCCGAGGGATTCGAGCAGGAATTCAACAGCTTTCCCTTTGTTCCAGTCTATAACAGGGCGGATTTCTAAAACCTATACCAGCCATGAAAATAAATTAAGATTCAGTAACCAAG